CTCTGTAGGGAGCGATCAATGAGACGTGTCAGGCTATTGGCTCTTGTTCGCCACATTGCGGGAGTGTTGCACTATTTTGATTGGCTGTTTATGGGAATGGGAGGTAAGTGAGTAAGTCAGCCTTTGGCTTTGCTGCGAGTGTTCGTAGCGCCACAGGGCATGGTTGCTATGCAATTTTGAATATATTCTGTTTGGTGGCTGTTCTCCGCCTTTTTGCTATTTGAAATTAGTTATCGGGACGTTCAGTGCTTCGTATGGGTTTGACGAGGCGTCGCTCGAAAGGGTTACTTTATGACAGTTTTATTATTTGATTATGGCAGTAAATCTTGAGGCTGGACTTTTACTGCTTTTTCTTGAGACCTTATTCTATGTTTAAGCGGTAGCCGGAGTGCCACTGCAAACAGACGTTGCAAGGCCTGATTTCAGGTCTGTTTTCAAACTGCGAATTGCAAGTCAACGTATATATAGATTAGTTTACTGCGGGGCCACCGTTGAGACGTTCACACGGTTTTCCAGTGCTTTTTATTACGTTTTGGGTAGGGGCTCTTGGGCGAAGCGGCGTGGACGCCCTCAGTGCTAGATCGCTGCAACTTATAGTAGACTGGTTAGTTTCCGCGTGCTCTGGCCTATAGATGGAGCGAGTTGTCGAGAATCTAGTTATTTATTTGGCATTACTTACGTAGCTACCTCGGCAGCCTTCTCTTAGCATGTTTAGTCGTGCTTCGAGGTCGGCTATTCTTAACTTGCGCGGCTACGGCCACGTCCGGAGATTTCGTCTGCTTGGCGCAAGATGGGTTGCGCGAAGTTCCTGCTTTCTGGCTCGGGGGCACGCCACAGTGGATCGTTTTTCATACTTCGCTGGCGCACGAGCATTATGACACGCCATTCGTAATAGGTGCAGCTTCGGTAGTCTCCACTGCGTTACGTCGTTGGTGCTCTTTAGCGCACTGCTTTCACAACGGCTGCAGCTGCGGAATTAGGCGGTGGGCATGTTTTTAGGTTGTTCTGCGGTACTTGCTGTAGAGTGCTTCTCTTCGGCGAGCGTTAGGCCGAGTACACTTGGTGGCTTTGCGCTCTTTGAGGCACTTTTTATCTTGGCACTCATCCGCCATGTGTCATGGAGTTGCTTCTGCAACTTGTGCCTGCGTTGGCGTCTAGCCCTTCGCGAGCAGCCAACCTGTCGTGAGGCTGGTTCTCACGTTAACCTGGCTCATAGTAGGGTGGTGCTGAAAAGCCCCGCTTCTGGGGTTCTGCCGGCCCAGTTCTGTACGTTCGTTTCTTCTGGCTCGGCCCTAGTGTGGCTTATCTGCGGTGACCCTCTCGCCTTCTCCACTGCCTCAGACTGCAACGGTGTGCAGCAGCCGCTTCCAACGTTTCCTGTTTGGCGCCCATACTGTCACGACAGACGACGGCACGCAAAAACTGATTTCGCGAGCATGGACACTTCTGTGCGTTGGGAGTACGTAGTCAGACTTGCAGCTTGCTATGCTTTCACACGGCTTTTCATTAGTCGGGCTCATTCGTGTGGGCAGGATGAGGCCGCGGGCTCTCTAGCAAGGACACTGCGAGCACCGCTTCTGATTGTAGATGTACAATGGTCACCGCACTTGTCTACGGCATCCCGCCTTTTTCTGGACGCTGCTGGGCAGTCGTAAACGTCGAGGATTCTGCGGATTTCGTCCATACGGAGCCTCCGTGCTCTCTAGTACACAAAATCGAGGAGCACGCCACTGCAGTACTGGGTGGTGACGCTGGCTTTGGGATGAAGTGGCGCTTTGCAACACAGCTTCCTCAGGAAGTCGCTCATTTCTTTCAGCGTTGCCTTTTAGGGGCACCGGTTGGCCGATCATGTCGGCGTCAGGGGAGATCCCTCGGCACGTTCTCCGGTTGGGCTCGCGCATGGAGGGGACTTCATGGCTTCGTCGCTTCTGAACGAGCTGTCTTCCGCCAGGCATATGCGACTGTTCTCCTTCGGCATGGCCCAGGATGCAGGATCACAGGGTCCTAACACGCAGTCACTACGGTAGGGATGGGGAGTGTGCGGCACTCGGTGCACCAGGTCGTCGCCCATATCTCGATGAAGGCCCAGACCACGCATTCACAGTAGTATCCTAGGCTTCTGAAGCGCCACATGAAGAAACTGATGCGGGCGTCGTGGCGTAAGGTTCTTCATGGAGTCGGGTGTCGCGGCATAAGCTTCTCCATTGTTATTTCTCCGGAGGGCGATTGGCAACGAGGGCGCCAATGTACGGCCGACGACTTAACACCCAATCAAAAAGAAGCGACTCGGCCGCTGCGGCAAGCGACTGCCAACCCTGCCGCACCAGGGAGCATTTCGGTCGATAGTTTAGACATGGGTGCTAGGTTGCCTGCCCGTGTGCTCACGGGGCTAGTATTTGAGGGCAACTATGCGTTTCCTGCATTGCTCTTTGTCCAGCCGGCTGTTTTCTACAGCCGTATTGTGTTTGGTCGCTGGAGGGTTGGGTATTTGCTGGATGCGAGCGGCACGCGACCACCACGGCATTTCACATATTGGGCGAACTAGGTTGTACTGTTTTCCGTCTTTCGGGCCTCCACGGCAGGGACCTTGGGTGCTGCGTGCCTCCGGTCGCTTGCGATATGCTCGTTTAACGAATGAAGGTGGCAGTGATTTGCATAACGCCTAAGTAGCAGAGTGCTAGTTCTGGATATTTCAACGGGTGTTGATTTAGGGCTTTGCGTCTACGTAGACCTCTGCGTCCTTTCCCCGACACAGTCGCGGCGATGCGAATTCTAACTTCTGGAGGAGGCCGCTTGGGGATTCCCGTGCCTTCCCAGCTCACTGTGGGCTATGCATGACAGCTGCGGTGGGGTCCTTCCGCTCCATGGAGCACCATGCCGGAGTGTAACATCTCGGGATAGGAGCGGAGGCCTCGCTCAACTGGGCCTCTAGATTAGCACCCATCATTATTGGGAGAACTGCAGCGTAGTTCTTAGTGCGCGTTCACGCTCAGGCAATCTGGTCTGGATCAGCGTTGAGCGGGTTGGGCATCATGCAGCGCTTCTCGGACTTCGTTTGGAGTTTTTAACGCAAATGAGTAGGCGGTGGGGTTGTTTTGGCGGTAATTCTGCAGGCCCTGTTTTCTCCGAATGCATCTGGTACCTCCGTCGGAAATTCTACTCTTCCACCGTGCAGCCGTTCGACCGCGTCTCTTCATGCACAGCGTGGTGCCACAGCGACCCTCTGTCGTCATTAGGGTAGTTTGCACATTCACAAGGAACTGCTCTGGGTAGTTTTAGGACTGTTTTATTATGCATCATGCTCGAGGATAGGCTGGAAGGACATGTTGAGTTTCCTTGTCTATGGCGTTAAACTTTCACAGCAAGCGGCAGGAATGCAGGGCTCTTGACGCGACAGCAACATGAAGAAGGGTTGAGAAAAGCGCTTCCTGCGGGAGATATTTTCGGAACCTCCATATGTAAAGACTCTGCGCAGTGGAGACTCAGCAATTCTCGTTTTTCATCACTGCCATACGACTCACTGTTCTGCAGTCTCTCCAATATACTCGTTACCTGCTCCCCACTGGATTCGGACCAGGAGTACGGACATTTTATCTCTGAAAACCGTAACCGTACCAAACTATGGGCTCCACAATTCTACAGATTGGCCCACTTCAGGACAGGGTGTAAGGTGCACAGCCGCCTCATCCCCATTCACTCACCCCGTCTATCCTCCCCGTCTATCCTCTGTCAGAGAATTGCTACTGCGAAGTCTCAGGTGTTTTAGACATTTCCGCAGAGGTAGTGCTGTTCTCCTCCAATAGTTGCACTGTAGTGTACTTCAACTGTCTTTCCAGTCGTGTATTAAATACAGTAGGGAGAGACTCCGAGCGGCGTATTGTAGTCTACTGCAACTGTGATCCTACTACAGCCTTTAATACGGGAGTGAGGGGTTCCAGCCCTTCTTTAGGCTGTGACGTTCCTCCGGGCCTTTTGGAATTAGCGTGAACTTGGTTGGTAATGCACGCTCCCACACATTTGGCTTCGCTGCAATTGTTTAGCGGGCCGTCCCACTCGGTTTCTGACACGACTAGTTGCTGCATTTTTGCAACGCGTAAGCTCGACAGATAATACTGGCTGTAGCGACAACACTCGTGGTACCGCGCACGTGCACTGCGTCAGCGGGTCCACCCACGCTGAAGCATGAAGCGTTCGTTTCTAACTTGGTTTTGTTCTAAAGGGTTGTCTTAACTCACTGCGAGTGTTTGGCGGACCGCTGCAGCTAGTCTCCCACGCACAAGCGCTGTGTTCGCGCAACACGTAAGCTCAACATGTAAGAACGCCCTCAGTTTCAACTTCTGAAGGTAGAAACAACTAGCATCCGTTCATTTCATGCTCAAAGGAGTCGTGCAAGTACTGACTGTCGTGACTTCATTCATAGTCCTGCACGTGCATAGCGTTAACGGCTCCAGACGGGCTCGTGAGTATCGCCCTCGTTTTAAATTTGTCTTCGTTCCGCAATATGGCCTTAATTTATTTGTCTCCAATATCTTTCTATACATCGCCTTCCTCCTCACAAATGCAGCTGCCGTTGGGGTCCTCGGCCGCGGGTGGCAGCCGCCTTAGCAGCCATCAATTCCAGTCCCAACCACCCATGCTCGTCGTAGCATGTCTGTAGCTAGGTGGCTTATATTTTGTGGACTCTTTAGATTGAAAGAGCCCCAATAGCTTTAGAAGAAAAGACTGTGTGTCGCTTTGCGACGTGGGGCTTCCCCCCGACGCGTCTGAGCATTGCTGAGGAGCTTGCTGCTGTTTACTTGATTGACGGAGCGAGGCTTATCCTCACGTCCAATCCTACAGATCCCCCTCCCTCCCAACAACGCATCACTTCTAAGCCTTTTGGGGTAGGTGGAAGCAGCATACGTGGTGCAGCATTCCCTCCGGAGTTCCCTTAGACCCTCAGGGTCGAGCTTGGTGAAGATACCTTCCTCAAGGTTCCAGAGGAGAGGGCTGTGACGACGATGATGGCCTCAATGAGTGCAGAAGAGCTGGCTGAACAGCCTTTCTCCTCACGCGTATGGGCGAGCGTGGGCCGCGTCAGCAGCACGTACTTGAATAGATCTATTTTATATCTGAAGACTCGTTGGCTTGCATTTTTCGCATGTCTTGCTTTCTACATCGTTCGCGTGTATCTGTTAGCTGGATTTTTTGTAGTGAGCTACGGACTGGGCATATACCTGTTGAATCTCCTCATTGGCTTCATCTCGCCACAGGTGGACCCGGAGACAGACGAGTATGTTTTACCTGTCCGTGGAGGTGGTGGCGCGCAGGGTGATGCAGGGGAATTTCGCCCCTTCTTGCGCCAAGTCCCTGAGTTTAAAGCGTGGGTTTCGGGGATGCGAGCTTTGCTTATCGCTATCGGCATGACATTTTTCCAAGTCTTCGACTTGCCTGTCTTCTGGCCCATCCTGCTGATCTACTTCATACTCCTCTTTATTCTTACCATGAAGCAGCAAGTAAAGAGAATGATAAAGTACAAGTACCTTCCTTTCTCGTGGGGCAAGCAAACCTACGGCGACATAACCCGCGGCGGCAACAGCGCAGGGCAGAACTACAGCCCTACCAAAGCATCTGCCACCTCTACAGCTACGGCCCCTTCCTACGTGTCTCATGAACACTTCGCAGCGACTTACGTCCTCCGATGATTCCAAAATGGTGTCATGAACACATTTGCAAAGCGTAGAGGCTCCGCGACAAAATTATGTATCCCTCAGTGCATACAGCCGTAAGCGAGGAGTACGCAGATTAAAGGATGACCTTTTAGAGGCATCCTTTGCAAGCAGACGCTTTGGTTCCTTTCATACAGCATGCACCGCAGCGCCGTCTGCCTCTCAGAGCCGCTGTCTTGTTAGGAGCGGACAAGGAAACGGCTGGATCATGCTGCTTCTCTACTGAGGCCATGTGCATGAAGACCTTGTTTGGCGGGAGGGCGGCACGCAAGAGAAGCTAGCCCTCAGTCACACTACTCTGTCGCATCTGACAGACCTCAACAAACAAACTTTACCTATCACGGAGACTGCTGACAGCCAAAGAGTGTCCTCCAGGCAGCTCGTAGCCTTCACGTAGCTGCCTCTTCAACACTCATGCTGAAATTGTGTCCATCGCCTTCTTGTCCTTAAAACTGAGGCCTTTGTTGAACACAACTACAAAACCGATACAGAAGGGAGAGTGTAACTAAGCGCAGTGGAAGTGTGTCGGGAACGGGCCTAATCAGATTTGATACATGCGCACGATGGGGGCGAGAGAGTGAACATATAAGCCAGCATATTAATTGCTGGGAACTGCTGTACCAAAGCATGTGTTTCCCCTGAATCACACATAGAGGTTCTGCGTACTAGACAGCATGAAAGCAGCCACAAAAGGCGCTGGCAGCCTGCTGGTCCACCTGCGCACCAAGTGGTTGCCCTGTGAGAACTCCGCGGGAATTGCTTAACCGTCTTTTCAAACCATGTTCCCTTAAGAGGTAGCCATCTTCGGGCAGCTGCAACACTAAGAAGCATCATTGGGGTCTGCTGCTGAGTTCGAGGATATGGAAGTGCATCTCGTCGCCGTCATTGCTTCAAGCGTAAACACGGTGGGGACCTGCCCGCAGCAGTGAACGGGAGCTCGCACTGAGCACGTGAGTATGCTGCAGATCTTTACCATGGGCGAAAGCACGCTGCAACCTCTACAGTTAGGTATGCCGCAAGGGGCACTCTTTTGCAGCAGCTAACCTAGGGACTTTGCCAACCTGCTTGCGAGAGAGTAGAAGAAGTGGGAACAGTCCCGACGCACCTTACGTGCTGTCTTAAAACTCTGAGGAAACTTCGACTAATAGCTTGCACGCGTGAGTCGAAGAGCTCGCTACATTGTAGCGAGCTCTTCGGAAATCTGTGCACAACACGAGGGGAACCGGTGTCCCCCATCAGCATCGACATGACACAGCTGCTGGCAACCTAGCTGACACTGTTACGGCTGTTCTTGAGTCCAAATGAACAGCTTTGCTCCAGTTAGCAACAGGAGTCGTACAAGCTAAGTAAGCAGCGAAGTGCATGGGGCCACATCAGCACAGGAGCATGCTGACGTTGAAGTGCTCCTACCTACATCGTAGCGTCGGAACTTCTTTCGCCAAGAGTGATGCCGTTTTGGTGGGGCACTAAAAGATGTCTGGGAGATGCCTTGAAAAACTGGCGCAGTTAGGTAGGCGTCCAAATATAACACTGTGCTCGTAGAGACTCCCAGGAGAGAAGTGGTTCACTAGAGGGAAAGCCACACATGGCTGTGAGGAAATCAAGGAATATTTAGTTTCCGAGACGTTCAGTTGACAATGCGGACTCGGTCTAAAGCAGAATACACCGTGCAGTTTTCATTTTCCAGGGTTCAACGCGGCGAAGATGCGGTTCTCCGATTTCGTCGAGCTTAGCAGTTCCCCAGGATAACGAGCGCTGCAAGAAACCACGGTGCAGAATATGCGATCCCACGAAGTGTATCAAGAGGGTTGCCGCGATTTTGCTTGGCCTTTGTTTATGCGCTCTCTGCGCATCAAGTTACTTGAACCGTCTTGCTGTAAGGCAAAGTACTGCTCAGAACAGCATGTGGCCCCAATAGAAAGGCTCCCAGCACTGGAAGAGCCCACGGTGCTAAGGATATGACCCCATGAAGTATTTCGGCACATGCAGCATATCGACCTGATAATTTGTACCACTCCTGCACTTCTGGGAGTCCTTCTTCGAAAAACTAGAAAGGCCCTTACATGCTACCAATAGCAATTCAGGCCCACAAAGACAGGGAAAATGACGCTGGACATGCGTGGAGGAAAAGGTGCTCGCCGGTATTGTCCCAGGCAGCACGACCTGCATTCTAGGGTACACCGAGCCTGTACAAACTACACTCGGGATATGCCCGGCCTGTACGACTTAAATTCGGGACATTCCAGGCCTCTTGAGAACAACTTCTCTCGTTATCCTTACTGTGTCTTCGCTACTGCCGTGCAGCCCACCATACCTGCGGGCATTTACAAGTGTGAACTGGGCTAGCCCGCACCGCTCTTAAAGTCGCGATAGGTCTTCAGTGCGCTCTTAAAGTCGCGCACTAAAAACTTATCCATAAAGCCACACCTCTCGGCACCATATTGTAAGCTCTTTGAACTCACCTAGTGGGGAGCCCTTCAAAATTTGGCAAGCGTGATGCGTCTCCCGTAAGTTTTGTTACGCATGACGTTACTGAGTGAATTCCCTTGGACTCATAGATCCAAAGTAAGCATAGAGAGAAGTCTCTTTGTTGCACAAACATGATCCTACTTCCTAGTACATCCGATCTGATGCATAGCATGGGCTGCCGAAGGTGAACACACGCAATTGTGGGGAGCGTCCGTCTGGCCTCTGCGACAATGAGCTAGTAACAAGCAACCAGCCAGACTGACTGGCGATCACATGGACGTCAAGATGGCGGGGCCATAGATCAACATTCGCCGTTGCTTCCCTCCCATTTACAACCCTCTTAGCTACTGAACGTGACGTTCCATAGCTGTTTTGCTTTCTCATCTGTGCTGCTTCTTCCACTAATAACCCCCGCTCTGCTATCTACAGCGAATCAAAAATGTGCTTTATAGTTTTCAACTCGCCCTACGACAAGACTTTCATCTCACAATGTACCGAGTATCTGCCTCCTCGGAATTCGCAGACGGGAAGTTTTTACACCCTGAAATGCATACAGAAATGTGCGTCGGCTTGTAGAGCAACGCGAGGCGTTTCGCGCTGCGTCTGTTCTACGACATGCCACAACGCAGCAGCAGTACGACAAAGATCTGTTCTAGCTGCTGCTGCTGTTGCATCTTGTTATCGGGGGGCGTCGCTAAGCGGGCAGAGGAAGACTGGCCACTGCTGCACGCGATTCCCCCAACACTTTAATGCCCATCAGCATTCTATGAACTCTGGAGAAACGCACGCTCTGAACTGCATGAGGGACCAAGCTGGGGCACTTTTACAAGCCGCATGATTCACTTGGCAGCTGGTTGCATGCACTGTCCCTTCTCAAGCCTCCTGCTGGAATACGTTGAACACCAAACTGGAAGAGATCCAAGTGCGATAATGCATACGACAAAACTCATGTACGATTATGCTCAACAACAATAAAAGCAGTGGCGGCTGCGGTTGGATGATTCGGGATCACCCGTTATACAAGAACTGCGACCTCTAGATCATACCTTGAACTTCTACAGCAACTGTTTCGTCAATAATTAGTTTAGCTACGACTCTGCGAATAATCAGCGTTTAGTCACAGCTGCGGTTCACTGCAGCAGCCCGCATGCAACGGGCACAACCGACCCAGCTGCGCCTTGGCCCCTGTATCAACGTATCATGCAGCAAGTACTACTTTCCCTGTACACAAATCTGAGAACTAGACTCTTAAGGAAAAGAGGAAAGTAGGACAGGAGTGGCGGAAAAGCCATCGTCAACATCGGACAATAGTACCACGCGTACTCACCTTGCCCACGCCACACGGCCAGCCTTCTACTGGTCACTGCATGAAGCCCCTCTGTTGATTCAGACCAAGAGAAAAGGATTACACTCTCTGTTAAGAACTATTGCCGTCCTTGTCTGCATCACATTCAACCCTCTGGCGCAACAGGCGTTACTGATCAGCTCCTCACTGTTTTTCAGTTTAGAGGGGGTCTCGTGCAGCTGCTGCTGTTTGTGCGTTTTCCACTTGACGGATCCTTCGGTGAACAGGTTAAGGCGCTTTCCGCTGCAGTCCGACGCCAGAATGGCGCCTGCAGTTGCGAGCAATTGCAAGTGCTAGAGCCGCACTGGCGCGTCAGAAGAAGCATTCAATGCACTTAGAAATGACCGCAAGAACCTCCGGCCTTGCTGCGCTGTAGCGGCAGCAGCACGGCAGCAGCAGTTGCTGCAGCCGTGCGCGTTAGAAGGGGACAGGCTTCTGTAGCCTTCAACAGACGAGGACAGCGCGCACAGCGGTGTCACCATGCCAGTTTCAGGTACTGGCTTCTCGTTGGGGTCTGCTCCATCAGACGGTGGGGCGAATGCAGGAGCAGACCCCCAGCGTGGGGCTCCTGGTGGTGTTGGGGCATCCCTCGCAAGGCACGTAAAGCGGAAGCTCGCGGGTCTTCTAGATGGCTGGCGCCGCGCAAAGAGTTTTCGACTGTTTCTGGAACCGGTTGATGTCGAGCAGATGGAGTGTCCTACATACTACGATATCATAAAATATCCAATGGACCTGCGCACCATGGAGGTATCGGCAGGCTACAAATCGTGATACAACGAATTCAACAACTAGCCGACACTACCATATTTGGCCTTATTTGATTCTCTAGATCATTGATTTTGACGCTGCAGGTTTCATATGTGCGCGTTGGTTCGTCGGGTATGCAGGCAAAACTTGAGAGAGACGAATACAGAAGCGAGGAGGCTTTCATCTCTGACCTGCTGCTAATCTTCCGCAACTGCCGCACGTCAGCTAGTGCTACTTACGGCAGTCCCTAATTGTAGCTGAAGCTGCATATCTGCTTTCGGTTGCAGGGAGAGGTGCCGAAACTTTGGGAAGTCCAAGATCCCTAGGGATTTAAGAGTACACAGCACAGGGTTCTGAAGAGACCAGGCCCTTGACAAGCCTAGCGGTTTCGGTGCACTCTGTGTATGTGCAGATT